TTTCAGTTTGTTTTTGAGGTTTGACCGTTCACTGAAGGTGCGCAAAATAAGGATAAGATGTAGTGGAACAGTAGTAGAAACATGAACAGCAGATGAAGGTGAAAGTTAAACCTTCTGAACCAATGCCAAGTTCTACCTGCAGTATGGACATGAGGAAAAACAGTCCTGCTCCGTGGCACAGTCTTTGCTGTGTGCATGGCAAGCTATTTCTGAATATTATTCTGCAAGGCAGGAGGCAAAAACTAAGTGGTTAAAGGAAAGATTTCTGATGTGCATGAGGTTAACTCATTTTCCTTTGGCAAGTTTGCAGCATGGTATTTAAAAGTAAGCCAGTAGCATTCCGAGCATACTTAACACTTCCCAAGACACACTGCATAGAATCCAGGTTAAAGACTGTTCTCTAGCAACAGTGACATAGGACATAGGTAGCCTTGACTGTTGCCCCAGGCACCTCGTGCAACCGTAGTGCCTCAGACTGTCCTCTGATTCCTTGTCCTCAGTGCACCTGAACTGCCTGAAGCTGCTGCTTTTTCACATTTTGAGCATATGACCTCCCCCAAAGATCACTTTTCCATGGCAATTTAGGAGCGCTGCGAGGATGAAATGGGGAAAAAAACAGAAAATTAGTCATAATCCTAGAAGATGTATGCATACTTGTGATGTGATCTTGTATTGAAGGGTCTGAATTGGCAGCTTCTAAAGGTCTGGAGGAAAAATGGCAGAGGTCCCTAAGCAGCTTAGCTTAGGAAAGCTGCTGCCAAAACAAGCGTGTCATCTTGGAAAGGGCTCGTCGTGGGTTGGGAGTGGGAAGTCTGGTGTGTGTGCTATGAGGGAAAGCAGTGCCTGCTTCAGGGCATTCACATAGGAGCAAGCCGTTATTATCAGGCCAGCAGCTCCTGGTACTGGGAGCAGGGTGGAGGGTCCTTGGGAAGGCTGCTGGTGCAGGCCTCAGCCTGCGGTACCTGCAGGAGCCAGGGGTGGCTGGAACCAGGAAGCAAGGAGCTCTTTCCTTGTTCAGAGCATTCCCGGAGAGGGCGTGGGCTGTTGACTTTGTGGCCGTGCAGGACAGTTTATATTCTCCAGATTTAAAATGAAAACAAAATGACCTCTATGGCTTGAAGCAGTTAACCAAGAAGAATCTCCTCTCCCCTTCTTACTATATTTAAGGGAACTGCTGACTTTACTAAATATTGTCTTTGAAAACATCTGCTTGGACTTTAATCCTCCTGTAACCCTTTAGCATAGGCTGTGGCACATGAAATGGGTTTGAAGCATTCCACTTCCATATCCTCGTGCAAATGTAGGCTTCTGCCTTGCTGCTAGGATCCAGTAATGAAGCCAGTGTGTTCCTTGCTGCTGTGCGTAAACAGGGGAACTGCTTTGATTTACACCAACCCATGAATTGTTAAGCTCTCTCCCTGAGAGTATGTTTCTACTGATAAATGTGTGCACTGTACAATGTGTTGGCACTGCTAGAACAGGGAGAACACTTTATTTTTCTCTTCCTGTTAGCTTCTGTTTTCTCTCTATAGCACACCAAGCTGTGCCCTGAGATAAGGCCTGTCAGTCTAGCAAACTTCAGTTCTTTATGGTGTGTTTATTTATTCATTTTTCATTGGCAGCAGTCAGACCAGACTGTAAGAATTCCTATGGGCTGTGGTTCAGTTGCAGTAGGATGGGGAAATGGGGAAGAGAGAAGGAATGTTTTACTAGTGTGAAGCAGGTAATTGAAGATAGTCTTATCTGTGTAAACGTGTGATGCTTCTGTTGGGAAGAAAAGGTTACTCCTGCAGCGCTACAGACCCTCGGTGAGCTGTTTGGGTGTTGCCACTTAAGTTCTGGGGGTGGAGGACTGGAAAGTTGTTATTAAAGCTGTTTCCCCATGAGCTGTAGGTATAAGGAATGTGCTAAAACCAACAATCAGCTTTCAGAGAGTTGAATGTCTAAATAACTTCCTAACCAGCAGCTCCCCTCTGGGCAGAAAGGATACCTTCTTATCTAGCCAGAATCTCTTTCCTCTTCTGATTTTGCCAAGGGAAAGTCAAGCTGGGAACAAGTTTTGTAACTTAGCTGAAGCCTGAGGGGGAGGACTCCTGCAGGCAGTACCTGTGCCAATTGTCTTTTAACAGTTCAGAAGGGGTTATCATTGCTATCTAAAACAAAATTGTTTTGCTGCCTTTGTCTCTTTCAGTTCTCACATTGAGCAAAATCAGCTTAGTGGGATGTTACTGTAGGCATGGCAGCATCAATTTAGGCATTCCTTGTGGGGCAACCTACCATCTGACAGGCACTAATCCTGGTAATGTGGGACTCAAGCAACTTGGAGCTAAAAGGAGATGGGGAAAACACGCCTGGCTTTTTAGTAGAGGAAAAAGCAGCGTGCTTTAAAACAATGTGTTAGTGAATCAAGAACTAGCAGTAATTGATTTCCCCAGAATAAATTCTTGATTTAGATATCTATTGTTTATTGTTGAGAGACCAAAATTAGACTGCTAGCTTTCATGTATGATCTTTGGGTGTTGAAAATGCCTCTGAGACAGAGCAGCACACCTCAGGCATCTCTGTGAATGAATTCTGTCATAATTGAGTTGTATTCCCTACTTCTCCTGCCTACTGATGTCATGCATTAAGCCCTGACCCAGGGCAGGGAAGGCTGCCATTGAATTGGCAAGACTTGCAAAGTTTCATGTGCTAATAAGGCTTCATTAAGTTGGATTGGAAAGAGCAGACCTTTCTTGCTGTAATAAGACATCCATTCACTGAAAATTGTGTGCTGCATTGAGCTGTAATTCTGGGTGACTCAGAAGGAAGCACCCAACTGTTGGCCTGCAGTACAGGCCAGATGCTGACATGTTCCAGCTGAATAGGAACTTAAAATCCATGTGAGAGATTTGACTTGCATGGAAGGGGCAGATGTACTGACTAGCTGGCTTGGCTTTCTTCAGAGGAGTGTTTTTCATGCTGTGGTCTAATTGCTGCTGGAGGAAGTTTAGCAGGTAAGTGGCAGCATCCTTAATCCTTTCTGCTTGGTAGGAGGGCTGAACATGGTGAACAAAACATTAGGTCTTCATCAGTAAAACATATTGGAAATGTATTGACTTTGCTACAAGTATAGAGTGGGATAACTTCATTTCTCTTTCTCCCTCTCCAAATTAAATAGGAAACTGATGGGGCAGGCAGAGTTTATTGTAGCATTATCTGCAGACTTACCACAGGGCATTTTAAATATCATCTTGAAATGCTATTTCAAGCTGGGGATGTGTGCAGACAAATAAGTCCTCTTTGGTAGAAACTAATTCACACGAAAGATCCAAATGCTAAAGATGACCTTTTTGTGAATTAGATGTGAGTAGAGCCGTGACATGGAACTAGGGAAAAACTCTCCCTCTAGGATCACTAAACTTTTATCAGCAAATTCACATATTCCTTCCATTAATGCTACTTTGTGGTGGTTTTTTTTTTTTTTTTTTTTCTTTCCTAAGTAATTGAAAATGTACATTGTGGCTGTTTGAATTGTGTCCGTGCTGGCATGCTGAATCCCTTTAAGAAGTACTTAAGGAGCTCAAGGTCATACTGCCTTCTTCAGGTTTCATATCTGATCACACAGGATATGAAATGGTGCAACACCTGCCTCTACTCCTCTTAGATTTATTTGGAGTTATCCAGCAGTTTTTGAAACTTGACCTCCCCCAAAAAAATCTCCTTTCAGTAGAAATATCCATTTAACTGAAGAAGTTGGATGTTGTGTTGAGGGACATGGTTTAGTGGGAGCTATTGGGAATAGGTGAACGGTTGGACTGGGTGATCTTTTAGGTCTTTTCCAACCTTGGTGATTCTATGATTCTATGATTCTAAGCTGTGGCTAAGAGGGAGATTCTTTCAAAATTAAAAATGTTCCCTTGGTCAACTGCAAAGAAAAGATGATTTCTGCAAAATAAATTACATTTTTTTCCCCAGTAGCTTTAGATGTTTGTGTAAGGAACAGCATAGTAGAAGTGTTGAAGTGAATCTCTGTATTTTTTTTTTTTCTTTTAACCAAATATTGACCAGATGTCTTTATACAAGTTTTCTCCTTTCTCTTTCTAAGCTATGAGCACTACACAGATTTTTAGTCTTTTTCAGGGGCTTTGGAGTCATGCATGGCATTGTATTTCATCCAGATCCAAAACTGTCAGAAGTCTTGCTGGCTAGCTCAGTGGGACTGTATACTTCAGAGCCTTTTTTCACTAATAACAGGGATTCAGCCTGTGCTGGGGTTCAGCCTGTACTTTCTTGATGTCCCAACTGTGATTTGTGTTTTCAGTGCAACAGTGTCAGATTGGCTATGGGCTGAATTTGTCAGTCCTCAGGTATGAGCAGTGTCACATCCTGCAATTTTAATTGCTGTGCTATGTACTGTCACATTATACCTGAGGTTTTCAGGCTGTTTTACATTCCTCCTCATGTGTGTTTGCCTGGCTGCTGGCTGGCTGTCAGATCTGCTGTGCCTCTCCAGGTGTCTGAGGAAGCATTTTATTTATCCTAGCTGTCTAGTACAGTCTGCTGTGTCTTCTGAAAGGTGAGGGGAGTGTAGGAAGGCTGGCTTCCTTGAAACCGCTCTGGAACAAATTCTCCAGATACTGTATCCTCTGTGGTTGTCTTGAAAGGAAGATCTAAAACTCGTTGCAAGCTGGACAATCTTTACACCTGAACTATTGGAAGTCGAGTGAGAAGTTCCGGTCTCTAATATAATGCAGCTCCTTTCGGTGTTTCCTATGCACAAAGTTGCCTTTTCTGCTTTGATACCATGAATGCTTTCATAGTAAGTTTTCTGAATTCCGGAACACGCGAAAGTTTGTTCTAGTCTGTTTCTGAATTTCCCTTCCCATCCCCTTGGCTGTCGTAAATGTTTTGTTCAGTACTTACTGTTCTTTTGTCTTTGTTTTTTTTTTCTAGATAGAGGTGCTCCTAATCAGCCAGATCTTTTGGGATTTTTTTTTATTTTTTATTTTTTTTTTTAGAAGAAACCTTGGTGGGTAAAAGATGTGCCATGGAATGGTAGCACCAAAGAGCAACACTGGATCATCTCTTGCCTTGACTAGCCATGGGCTATTTCTTCTGCTAGTTATGTTTGGTAACTTTATTTTGGAAGTACAGGCCACAGGTAAGTGAAATCTTTGCTTGCATGTACTGCAGAGGGGGAGAGATGTCTAAGTTTGAAAATGACCTTATGTATTTGTGGGGAAGCTGGAGGTGGTTGATGCATTTGCATACATATTTCAGTACTGGCAGGAAAAATTCCACCATAGCTTGTTAAGCAAAGGGCAGTATCTGAACTGAACCAGTCTTGCATACCTTTACACTATCATCTTGATTACCCCAGCTTTTTTTTCTGCTTCTATTTTCATCTCTTTACTGCAGCTGGGGATGCCAGGACTGTCTTAAGAGGAAGCACGGACTGTTTTTTGGTTAAGTGATATTCTCATGTAGGCACTATTATTTATATGCCCTGTAGCAACTGCTCATGTGAATTAGTTTTGGAAGCACAGGCTGACTTCTGCTCTTTGCACACCTGATGAGCCTGTACAATGTTTGCTTGTGTGGCACCTTCTGGCACTTGAGCACTCACAAAGTGTATTCCTTTGTTAGATCTCTTCTGCGTCTTGGGTTTTTCCCCATTCCCCATGCTTGCTTTTTGATGTCTGGTGACCAACTGTGGTAAATAATGTAAGTAGCAGTGGAATGGAATGACACATTAAAAAGTCAAGTAACAGTCAGAAATGAGTGTAAGAAGAAAACTTATTGGTCACAAGGCAGTAGAGATGTTTGTTTTCTTACACAGTATACCCTGAAACGTGATCTCTTCTTACAGACCTGATGTAATTTTCTTGTCAGTAGAGAGATGATTGATCATAAGTGGTGTGGGATGAAGTTTGTATGTGTGCCTTAGGTGCAAGTTCTTGCACAGAACGCTGGAGGAACTTATTCTCAAAAAGTCAAATAGATTTGACTTCCACAACTGCAGATAATAGCTTGCTTTTGAAAACAAAACATCAGTTCTTAACAATAGCTCTAAAAAGTCCTGTTTATTTGAGATATCATGGCACCTGAAAATGTCTGGTGACCAATATTTCTGGGCATCAGAGAAGCTTGGTTTGGCCTCTGTGGTAGAACAGAATAAAAGCTCATTGCCAGATGCACTCAAAGGAGAGTAGCTTCTGTAGAAAAGTCTGGAGGAGGAATTGATCTTCTAATATTTCTGACTCCTTTAGTTAGAAGGGAGAGGCTGCTGAAATGAGAGATCCCGGACTTCTGTGTCTTTCTACTGGCCTGGCTTTGGCTGTGTAGGTAAAAAGGGATGTGTGGGGGCATTGCAAATGTAACTGACTGGCAAGAACAAGTAGTGTGTGAAAGAGACAAAGGTATCTCATCCTTGTTTTTTCCAAAGGCTGTCCTTGTTTTTTCCAGCTGTTGTTGATAATACTCCAGCCTTGCTTCAGATATAGGCCTGCGAGATATTCCCTGCAGCCTGAGGCTGGGACACAATCCCAATTACGTACTGCAACACTCTGTAGTTGCTCTGTAATCAGTATGCAAATTCCTTGCACTGCATAGGGCTGCTGAATGGGGAAGGCAACTACAATCCTGGCAAGCATTTTCAGTATCATTTTTTATATATCTCATGTCATATGGAAAAAGCACTGGTGAAGCATGTCATAAGACCCTAGAATGGTTCTGCATCATTTCCCTTTCTCTGTTCATTTTGATTCAGGACCTGAAACCTGTTGTTGTAAACTGATCAAGGCAGATCATCAGCTAAATAGGATTAGAGTGGCAAGACATGAAGCATTTCCTTCAGCAGAAGTGAGAAAGTGAGAGCGTGTGAAGGGAAACCCAGGATCATAGCAGAGGGCAAGGCACAAAGGGGGGAAATCCTGGGGGGGAGGGGGTAGAATGGGCTTCCATCCATAAACTCTGAGGCTGGGAGGGATGGGGGTGCATGGCAGCCTGTTGTGGGCCCAGGGAGCTGCACCTGCAGCAGTGCTCTGACTATGAGTAACATTAATCAGTCAGCCAGCCGAGGAGCAGGGACCCAGATGGAGAGACAAAGAGCACTGAAAAAACGCTTGGAAAATCATCTTTCCCTCATCTTTGTCCCCAGCCACCCCCCTGTCCTCACTTTATTAGTTTACATAGCAAAAACATTCAAAGCAACCAGAACAAAGCGATGTTAACTCGAAGCAAGAGATTACATTAAATCTCCTGGTGGTAATGCTTATCTTGAATACAGGGCCAATGTGACACGTTCACAATTGCTACAAAAGATGAAGAATGTTCTCATAAAAAGACAGACAAGCATGGAGACAATGGACTGGCTCAGCTCTGAGTGACAAAGTGGAGCTTGTTATTCGTACATTTAAAACCATATAATGCATATTGTACTGCGATGGTTTTACTGTTTGGAAATGTTACTGCTTGTCTTTCAGGAGGTTAGATACATATTTGTGTTCTGAGCAGGAAGGTGTTCACTTTTACATGTGATGAATACAGAGGGCAGACTGATTTCCAGTCAGTGAGCTTCTGGTCTCTCTTCTGCTGATAATTTGATTTTATTTATGCATGGATTTTTAGCAAAAGTCATCAGCAATTTGTCTCAAGCAATCTGTCCAAGTATCCCAGAGTGCTGTGAGATGAATGTGATAAGTTGCTTAGTCACAGAGCCTACTGCAGAGTTTGGGGGAGCTGATTCCTTCTCACAGCAAGCTAGTCACAACCGTAAAAATAACCGCTGCACGTGTTGTAACACAAAACAAATGCAGCATTCGGTGATGGGCAAACAATGAAACTATGCCAGAAGTGGAGGATTTAGGAAGGCTTCAGTGCTCTTCAGAAATTCTTTTTCAGCTTGATCACTATTGTGCCTTTTTCCCCTCTTGCAAGTTCTCCAAGATTAATTGAGGGAAATGATGAAAAAATTAGCAGAATGGAAAGGCTCTCTTCCAAGAAGAGCCTTGGAAAGCAAGGCTCTGAAATGCTGCAGCTTAATTCTTGTTCCATCTCTTCTGTTTTCTTTGAGGGTTCTTCTGGGATTTAGCTAAGTGCTTAGGTGCTTAGTAGGTAGAGACAGGGAAATGCTGGAAGTATTGGAGAGGAGGAATAACAGCTGCTTGGGCTGCTTTGTTAAAATGTAACGCTTCTGTGTGCCTTCTTTGTTGTCCCGGTTCTTTCTTCCTGCTTCCTCTCCCTGGCCTTTACAGGTTATTCCTGAGCTCTCAAAGGCCTTGTGTGTAATCACATTTGTAGCAGCCCTCCTATTTGACCAGACTGTTTCTGAAAGGATAACAGCGGATCAGAATGAATCACTCATAAAATTTTAACTTGTAGTCTCTAAAATATTCTGAAAGCTTCCTATCATCTGTGTTCTCAGCGTTGTAACTTCTCTTAGATTCTTAGCCAGCTCTCTCAAAATGTAGGTTGGGCTTTTCATTACTGATAAGAGCATCACCTATCTTGAGAAATGTAACTGAAGGTGTTACTATGAGTATTAACACCCTGAATTAAACAAATAGCAATACACATAAATGAGAGAGTTTAAATATTAACCTTTAAAAATTAATAATGCAGACTTGGCAAATGTAAGTCTACTTAATTTTAAACACAGCCTGATTTTTGTTGACTGATCACATGTAAAATGCTATGAAGCTATCCCTTTAATTTTTAGGGTTCCATTAAAATGATAAATTGAGCTTGAATAAACTGAAACGACTTCATTTCTGTGTATTGTCTCTGATGCAAACGCAGGCAATCTGCTGCATGCTGCTCTAAGGTCTTTTCAATGCCAAGGTTATTCTGTACAGAAGCTCTTGGATACCACTGGTGTTTGTTTGTGTTGCATAGAACAGCTTGTAAAAGCATACTTCAGCCATTGAGCAGATTCAGACTTGTTCCTATTCCTTGGGAATCTGTATGAAGCAGAGGGTTCCTTTGTTTCTAATTATGTGGTTGAAAGGAAGAAGTTTAATACTGCTGGGGATGAATTCAGTGGGCATGAAAACAAGGACAGTAGTACTGGATAGCTAGATAGAAATGTGGGGTGGTGTTGTGCATGAACACAGGACCTGAGTTCTGATCTGCGTGCTTCCTATAATGCAGGTTTGAATAAATTGTTGTCAGCTCATAGTGAGGAAAGGGTGCAGTTTTCAGTGTGAGTCCTTCTTCCATTCCCTTCGTAGAGCTTCATGAAAGCAGAGTGGCACAGAAGAGCATGGTGAGGAGCTGTAGAGCAGTGGTGAGGCTGCCAAGAGGTAGATGCAGGTGGGCCCAGAACCAGTCTAGTTAAGGAACACTCTGTTCTTACACTGATCTCTGGGTAGTGCTTTTTAAGCAGCTGACTTGAAGGCAGTAACTGGAATCTAGTTACAGTAGTCACACAGCTTGTTGAATTTTAAACAGCTTGAATGGTTAAGGAATGAATTAAAGCAAGCATAATAATAATCTTAATTTTATTTTTTTGTCTTTTAGGTTTGCTCGGCAAATCCAAAGGACCTACATGTAAGTAAACTCTTATTCCCTGCTGTGCTATTAGAAATGAGTGAGATGTTTTACTGATTAACATAAGTGGTTATACAAGCTAAGATTTACGTTTTTACTCATGTGCTGTGATGCATCTCTGCCCTGTTTCTGCTTTTTATCCCTTATATTTGAGAGAGATGGTTGCCTTTGGTTTGAGGGAGATCAACTTCATATGTTCCACTGTGCTTGAAGGCACCTCAATGTGTCTTTATAGTATTTAGTTTTAAATGACTCAAAACCATGTAGAGTGAGTATTCACTGAAACAAAAAGAGAAAGTTATGCTAGTTGTGAGAGTTTTGAAAGGGAGAAGATTGGAAGGACGGAGAGGGCAAGCTGAGGTGAAAAACCCTTTTGTTTCCTTTAATCAAGAAAAGTGAATATCTCATCGCAGAATGTGATTCTGGATACGTTGTATTGAATACTCAGCTTTTCATTTCCCGTGCTCGGAAAAAGTCTGAAGCTTTTCCTGTATGTGTTACAGAGGTATGTAATTTTAGGAGGAAGTGGGAAGCATACTTGGCTGTCTTGATTAGTTCTAAATATATTTTTAAAAAATGTGTAGGTATTTGTTGAAGTCCAAAATGTGATCATCCTAATTTGAGTCTTCCAATTTTCTTCAAGAAAAGAGAAGACAGGAACAAAGTCTGGGAATGGATTCATAATTAAGTATTTGAAGGTGAGAAAGGGTAATCATACAGCCTACCAAATTTTGATCTTCAGATGGAGGGAGGAGGAGAGCAGATGGAATGCTCTGTGAATCCTGAATTTTTAATCGGTCTGAATTTTACTCTTGGCAAGACTGATATAACAGAAGCCTAGTGTGAATGTGCCATCAGTTCTTGGCCATGGTTTCTAGCAGGAAAACAAGCTAATTTAGGAAATAGCTCAAGAACTGCCTGGTCCAGCTAATTCAGTTTCTTGGGCTATTGTGAAAAAGGTGGAAACTGATAGGAGCTTCGTTGTAGAAAGAAAGCTGGAAGGGAGCTTCATTCTTCAAAAGAAAATACTTGCAACTTTAGTCCAGATTTTGGAGTCCCCTGATGTCTGGTGCCTGCTACACTAAAGATACGGGTGGTTTGTCTTCTAATGCAGCTGCCTCCTGTCAGTCTTCCTTCTTTCTGTACTTGAGCCTATCTTTTGGGAAGAGTTTGATTTTGTTTCTAGTCTCATGGAAATGGCCTGACAGCAGGACAGAAAAGTTTGCTTGTGATTAACTACTTTGTGCCATTTGACATTTCTTTTGTTATTTCTATGCCTACTTACAGTGGTAGTGAAAGCTTTTTTTTTTTTCCAGATATGTTGAATGCTTTTCCATACTTGATGGTGTTACTCCCTTTCATCTGTACGATTTGTTCTTGCCATTGCTTTTCCAGGCCCTTGTATTTATAACTGTAGCAGCACAAGCAGTTACCACCTCCTGTTTTTGTTGCCACCTATTACTGACCCTGCTGCATGAATGACAGAACAAAAAGTAAATTTACTCTGAAACTGTAGCAAACTTCAGCCTGGACTGTTACTGCAGTTACTGCTGAAATAGCTGGTATGCAGTATACAAATCTGTGATGTCCACGGCGTACTTAACATGGGTGATGAGGCGAATACAAGTAGAATCATAGAATCACGAAGGTTGGAAAGACCTCCAAGATTATCCAGTCCAACCATCCACCTATTGCCAGTATTTGCCACTAAATCACGTCCCTCAGTACAGCGTCTAAATGCTTCTTGAATGTCTCCAGGGATGGTGAATCCACCACTTCCCTGGGCAGCCTATGCCAGCACCTGATCAGTCTGAGAAGAAATTTTTTCCTGACGTCAAACCTGAATCTTCCCTGAGACAACTTGAGGGCATTCTCCTCTTGTTCTACTGTTGTTATGTGGGAGAAGAAGCCAACACTCATCTTGCCACAACTTCCTTTCAGGTTGTTGGAGAGAGCAATAAAGTGTCACTTAAGCCTGTTCTCTCGACTGAACAATCCCTCAGCTGCTCCTCATAAGACCTGTGCTCCAGATCCCACACCAGCTTCATTGTCTTTCTCTGGACACACTCCAGGGTCTCAATGTCTTTCTTGTAGTGAGACAAGAACAGAACACAGCACTCGAAGTGTGACTTCACCAGTGCTGAGTACAGAGGAATGATCACCTCCCTGCTCCTGCTGGCAGTACTATTTCTTATACAAGCTGGGATGCCATTGGCCTTTTTGGTCACCTGGGCACACTGCTGGCTCGTGTTTAGCCAACCAACACGCTGTGGTCCATTTCTTCCATACAGTCTTCCAGCCACTCTTCCCCAAACCTGTAGTGTTGCCTGGGGTTATGGCCAAAGTGCAGAACTTGACACGTGATCTTGTTGAACTTCACCTCATTGACCTCAGTCAAGTGATGCAGCCTGTCCAGACCCATCTGTAGGACCTTCCTACCTCCAGGCAGGTTGGTGTCATCTGCAGACTTACTAACGGTGCACTTAATCCCCTGGTACTAGGGCAACATGAGTAGCTACAGGCAGTCTTCAGCTTTTGTAGCTGCATTTGCCCAGGCCCTGTGTTAAACCAAGCAATCTGTGCCTTGTTGGGGATTACTAAGAAACTGCTGGTAACAAGCTGCTGAGAGTCGAGAATGAGGATAGGATGCTGAAAGGCACTTACTTGAACAGCAAGCTCAAACGTGTTTGTACTGTCATTAGAGCAATTGGAACCTGGTGACTGGACTGTGACTTTGTCTCAAGAATTTGTACATGCTTATCTGTGTGTGTTGATCTGCATCTAAAAAAGCATTTTCCTTTTAAAGAAGAAAGTCTGTGGAGAGTGTTTCTCTTCCTCTGCAAGTAGGAATTTCCCTGAGGTGAGTCTCTGCTTTTGCGGAGTGTTGTGTTGAACTGGCAAATGGCTTCCAGATGAGAAATCTTCCAAGGGATTTGAAAAACTACCTTAGATATAGGACTGTTTAGATGAGTTGTGTGACGTGCCAGTTAGATTGGGCTAGAAGGGTTTGTTCCTTAAACTACTAAAGGATAAAATGAGCATTCTGTCCCAGTCTGGTATGGATCTTCTTATGAAGGAAGGAGGAGCAGAGCTTTGGGAGTTTCTGTGCTGAAGAGGCTGTGAGGATGCTTGTCTGCCTTGGCCTGACAATAACGTTTTTAAATCCTGTGTGCTCAGTGTTCCCTGTCTAGCCAGTCAGCGTATTTCAGAGGGGAATATCTTTCTCCTCTTGAAGAGCAGAAAGCCATGCTGCTGCTGCTTTCTGAAATGTGTTTTTGTTCTTAGCCAGTGAAAGGAGAATAATGTCTGATTTGAAAAATACTGTCTAGAGAGAAGTATATATCTGATGGAGGCTTTCTTGAATTCTCAGCCCAAGGTCAAAGAAAGAACACAATAGGCCTGATATGTACACAGAGTTGTAACTAGAAAGCCAGAAGCTGCTGCTTATAAGCTTGGAGGAATGCTTTCCATGTCCTGAGAAAAGGACTTGCATGGTATATAGAAAGTTTTATGTCCGATACATCATTAGAGTAAAACTGTTTTGTGATTAGCAGTGTTTTGTTTAGACGACTGTGTAGTCTGGGAAATATCAGCTGTTGAGATAGTAAGCTAAGTTTTGCTGCTTTAGGTAGTGCTTTCCTTCAAATTATTCTAGTTATGTCTGGAGAAAGGCTCTGAGCATAGGAATAGGACTACAAACAGATTGAGATTTGTAGAAAGGTGACAGAATAGGCTGAAGGTGAATGAAGGAGAAGATCCTCAGAAGTGGGAGAGAGTCAGGGGAGTTCAGGAAAGCAGTAAGGTGAAGGTTTTCCTCAAGTGGAGTTGTGAAAAGTTCCTGCTGGTTTAAAAAGCCAATTAGTGGCTTGGTGATTAAGTAGTGTAAGTCCTGGAAGAAGGTAGTGTTTTAATTTTAGCTATGCAAACTGATTAGAATGGTTGAGAATAGCATGGCCTTGAGAGAGAGGACTCTGGTAGAAATGTATGCATGTGTTTATTTTTTTTTTTTTTTTAAATTGTTAGGCAAATGTCTTAATGCAAGGATATGCCTTTACAACATCAAGCTTTTGAGTCTTTTCTATATGCGACAGCACTGACTAATGAGACTGGCAGAGCTTAAGAACTCAAGCTTACAAAATGCGTGTGCCCTCCAGGGGCTGGAGCTTTGGGGAAGCTTTCCTCAAGGCAGGAGTGGAGCAGGATGAAGATGATGCTGAAGTGCTGGATGGCTGCCCATGGGTGCTCTGACATTACAGCTGGGGGGGATCTGGTGGAGATAGAAACTGAAGGACGGTAGAGCAGCTATGTGTGAAATAGAAGACAAAGAGGAATTTCAAATGGGAGTTGCTGCCATGTTTGGAGAAATTAGTCTTTAACTTTCTGAGAAAGTTCTGCTTTTCTTGGTTTGTTGTCAGTTTTATGGATAAAACCAGCCTTGCTCTTCTCCTTTGCATGCTACGGTTGTATGCTGTACCCACTGGAGAGGTATCCTTAGTATAAACAAATTAAACCTATTAAAGCTGCTAGATGCTGGATCTTTGTCAAGACTAAGTATTGCTCCTGCTGGTGGTGATGTTTTCCATGTGGGGCCTGTGTGGCATTCAGTATGGTATGAAGTTAGATCAGAGTAGGTAATGTGACCTCTGGTGCTGCCAGTTCATTCTGGATCACCTGCTGCAGAGGCTTTTTGGAAAGTAATTGTTGTGTCGTGCCAAAGATGTTCATTTATCCTTGGCTAAGAGGAAAGTTTGCTTTTAATGTTTCCTCTGGCCTGTTCCACTCTTATCATCAGAGTGGCTATACTTGAAACTCAAAGTAACTGGGGATGTGACTGCTGTGTAGCTTGTTTCCAGTAGTTCAAGTTCCCACTCCATTTACTTCTTGAAAAGACTGGTACTGTCAGAGTTGTGCTGCAGTGCAACTCGTGCTTCAGCACATCTTTGTTTCTCTTTAGCACAAGCAAAGGACTATATCCTTAATGTTTTGTGTTTGTTTTAAAGATGGTGACATTTCTACTCTGTTGTTGGCTTTGATTTCCCTAGCAAAAGTAACCTTGGAATACTCCTCTAGAACAACCTACACGTTTCATTGTAAGTGCTTCTTGGACATAATTGACTTAAGTCATAAGATACAAACTGTAAAGGTTTTATTATCTGCAGCTGATTAGGGGTGTTGTAGTGAGGTTCAATCTCTGCCCACAGTCAAGATGAGCAAAAGCTTAACTATTTTACCACATACCTCTGGCCACCTGGCACTTGTCTGAGTCGGGTTAGGAGTATTTCATGGTTGGCTACATCAAGTACTGCAGGGCAATTTGAAAGGATGAAAATGGATGTCTGTTCTGCATCCTCTGACAGCAGGCAAGCATCTATCACTAAGTCTGTTTCCATTCCCTGAACTCTTAACTTAATTAGCAGCTTTAAATGGAGGAAATGGTCTTCCTGTCATTGGTCTTCTGTCATTGTTTGGTTAGTTAGCACCAAGGGAGAGTACCAGGAGAACTGAGGTTTTTGTGTTTTTCATTTAAAGATGATTTGGGTTTGGTAGCAGGATTTCAAAGCTGCTTTACAGTTCATATAGTCTGCATAGATTAAACCAAATGCATCCTCCCGGAGGGGTCCATCACCTTTCTTCCTGTGGCAGT